ATTTTTTGTTTTTGATAATGTTATGATATATATATATATATATATATATATATATATATATAGTATACATATTATTTTTATATGTGTTTGTTGTTATTTTAGTGTTTTGACGTTTCTAATACTTATAATGGGCGACGTAAACTGGAGTAAAACGACTTAAGGCAAGTTTTATTTTTCATAAAAAACTGACGTATCTTCGAAAATGACTTATGTCGAGTTATCACTGTATTACCAAATGAAACTTTTATATAATTTTACCTAAATTATAAATACCGATCGTGTGCCATCTATAAGTATTACTACTGTTTTGTAAAATACAAAAGTATTTATTAATGTTTATTTATTTTTGTTATACTCAAGACTTGATTGTTTCTTTTAAAAATTAAATCATCGTGTTATATCTACCCCTTCATACATCCCTTATAGTGATCTAATCCTAACAAGGCCCAAATCTTACCGCAAAAAACCAACTATAACAATACCATGGAGAGAGCATGTAAACAATGAGGAAGATCCAAAGGAAATGGACGCAAAAAGAACGCATATACATAAAATCAGAAAACGACAGTTGAAATCTGTAGGATGTATAATGTGGAAAGAAGGCTTGGAAATTTTGCCACTCACAAGACATATTAAAGGCAAGAGCGACAGAAGCAAAATAGAACAGGAATTAGGAGAAGTAGTAAAAAAATTAGGCATTGTAAAGCGCTAGAAAGGAAGTTAGGGAGAGCCATGATCGTTCACGTCCTAAAGGGACACTGAACATAGAAAAATGCTGCAAAATCTTTCATTCAAACCTAATTCGAAAATAAATAATAATGTCCTGTATATCAATCAAGTTAACCCTATCCTGTCGGCCATTTTGTTTTATCTGTCCTATTTAAGACATCTTACATGTTCCTCCCACCTCTGCTATTTCAACGCTTTTATTATCCTCGGGTTTTAGTTTTTTTTTTTCCGATCGGTAGATTTGGACTTCCTCCCGTCCCTATAAGGCAACGTCCCACCCAGTTCTTGATTACCAATCTCCTTCAGAACAAGTTTTAATCAAGCCTACCCCCCCCACGCTACACTAACGAACCTCCCCCAACTTTCTACCCTCTTCGGCATACACTTTATCTTCCTCCTTTTTCTGTTCTTCTTTTCTTCTCTACCCCTCTGCGCATTCTCCTAATCTACCGGCATCGCACCTATACCCCACCCTAAGAATCAATTGCTCCGCTCCTCACCCCATTTTTCACCTCCCCTACTTCGTCACCGAGTCTCATTTTCCTTTTTCACGGAGGCAGGAAGGTGATTATGGTGCCGGCGGCGTGGGCAACACTTGTTTTGATCAGAAATTAAAACACGTGACCCAAATAATATTTCCATTTCCCGCCAATTTTTACATGATTTTTTTATTATTACTAACATTCCCCCAATACAAGGCCCAAGAGCCACTCAAGTTAGTGGGTTGCTGTGCGGACTATTGGCGTAGAAAAGGACAAAAGTTAGGAGTATAGAAATGCAGCAGACTTTAGAAGGAACTGGAAACCCAATCCTAAACAGAAAACCATTACTCCTGTTCAAAAGACCAGGGAGGGTGTGAACCGGAAAATAGATTTTTGTCCGGCTGTCGATTTCCTAGGAACCGATCTGCTTGACCCTCATACGTCGAATTCGACAGGAGAGTCGTATATATATATATATATATATATATATATATATATATATATATATATATATATATATTCAGGTTAATACACAGCGGCGATATGTTTCATGCTTAAGCAAAATATTCAGGCCATGAAGATTTATATATATATATATATATATATATATATAAGTGAACATTGAAGTCAACACTAAGAGGCGAAAAGCTGCTTCATGCTTGACGCAATCGTCAGGTGACCTGTCGATTGTATCTAGCATAAAACAGCCTGTGGCCTCTGAGTGTTGACTTCAATGTTCACTTTTATATTTATATTTACATACAGTCTATTTCTGATATTGAGCACTTTATCCCATAATTATAGCACACCTTAAAACTATAATTATTCATATATTTTATACAGCAAAAACAGACAAAACTTGTCTATATCATTTAATGAAATATGCATCAATGAAAAATTGGTGCATATATATATATATATATATATATATATATATATATATATATATATATATATATGTATGTATATTGTTTGTACCAGAGTATGTAGGTCATTTGCTGGCCTAAAGCACCAAATTTATTCAGCACATCAGTAGATATTCCCCAAAAAGATATGTAGTAATGGGTGTACTCGGAAAAAAATTGGCAACCACCATTTTTATATATATATATATATATATATATATATATATATATATATATATATATAAGCAAATGTAAATGGATATAAATCCGACAGAATGAAGAAAAATTTTGGAAAAAACAAACAAAAATCCTTAAATGCAACTATGCTGTTTAAAATGAATAGTTGCATTTAAGGATTTTTGTTTGTTTTTTCCAAAATTTTTCTTCATATATATATGTGTGTGTGTGTGTGTGTGTATGTGTGTGAAAAGTGTATATAAATATAAATAAATATATATATGTATAATTATTTATATATTATATGCGCAGTACTTATTAGAAAGCGCTCAATATCAGAGATAGAGCTAACATATCTGGTTGGATAGATGTGAGTTTGTGACCCTAGGTTTCACGCTTTAGCGATCGTCATACTTTGGCTTTCATCTTCAAAATCAATTCAAGAACCATCAAGAGAATGGTGAATATGTTTAAGAGAGGGAACAGAAGAGAGGAAAATTGGATCAGGAGGTCACAACAGAAAGAGAGATCATCATTTCAACTTAGAGCTCAAGAGATTCAATCCATAAGACATTTGGTACGTGAGAGGGGAGTTCCAGCTATGACACTACAAAGAACTGTGAAAAAAAAATTGAAAATGATATCGTACGGTAAACATATGAGGCACCTTGTTAGTCCAGGACAGAAAGTTAGAAGATTAGAGAGGGCGAAGTTTATTTTGAACAAGTTGGAAACGGATCTTGAAATTTTTTAATGGTAAATTTTCTGTCAAAGTGGCATGAACTATATTGTTCAATAATTACAGTAATGTCGCACTTATTATCATCACCATATTTGTATATGAACGCACAACTTTTAAAAAATTAAAATCAAACTCAGCGTTGCTACAGCGCGCTCAAAAAACAATAACTCATTTCCAATAGCATTTTCGGATACAACAATACATATATTTTCGTTGTCCTCTTATTACTAAGAGAAAAAACACGAACAACATCTATTCTATACTTGAAGATGTCTGTAGGAACAGACGAAAGCTTGTAGTAAAAATTAGAACTAATACGGCAGAAATTTATAGAAACAAGGATCATTTCATTCATAACGGATTCGGAGGTTTTTGTATATTATTTGAATTGTTTGCGACGATGGATTTCTCGACAATTAAATCATTAACCTTTGCATTTGTTTTTGTGTGAATAATTCATGAATATATATATACATATATATATATATATATGTATTTCAGGATCAGTTTATATGTGTGTGTGTGTATGTGTGTAAGATTTGTATGTATGTATGTATATATATATATATATATATATATATATATATATATGCAATTTATTATATATATTATTTATATATAATATATGCGCTGTACTTATTGAAAGCGGTCAATATCAGTGATAGAACAAACATACTTAGTTGGATTGATGTGAGTTTGTGACCATGGGTTTCACGCTTTTGCAATCGTCAGACAAATCAATCCAACTATATATATATATATATATATATATATATATATATATATATATATATATGGGTATGTCCCTATTCATATAAATGTAGTAGTAAATACTGTATGTTGGTCTGCATTTGGAGATTCATTGTGGAAATTCACTTTACTCACTTCTAGCAGTTGACTACTACTTCTACGCGCCGCTGGCGAATCTTATATGCGTTGTTCGTGTCCTAATTAGTATCGTTCATTACCAATCCTTCGTGTGATTATTCTATTCAGTAACCCTCCCTAGGTTACAATATACATACATACATTGGCTAGCCGCCCTATTTTTCACGTTGTATTCGTGAATATGAAAGAGTAGTGCTAAAAATAATTTATTGGATCAAACATACCTAAAAGAGAATTTTCTGCCTAAAATATATATATATATATATATATATATATATATATATATATATGCAAAAATATAGTTCTAAATTGTGCTATATTTATGGGATAAAGTGCTCAGTATCAGAGATAGAGCGTGTGTAAATATAAATATAAAAGTCAACACTCAGACGCGACAGTCTGTTTCAGGCTAGACGCAACCTGAGTGTTGACTTCAATGTTCACTTTTATTTTTATATTTACATACGCTCTATCTCTGATATTCACTTTATCCCATAAATATAGCACACCATAACACTATATTTCTTCATATATATATATATTTATATATATATATATATATATATATATATATATATATATGTCTGTGTGTGTGTCGATTTTCTTTAAATTTAATTTTTTATTTAATAGGCACGCTCGCTTGAGAAGACATGTCTGTTTTTAAACAGCTAAACTTACTATGTAAATAAGAACGTTTCCACATTGTTACTCAGTTACCTAGTATATTTATGTATATATATGCGTTTGTGCGCATATGTATGTGTATGTACGACTGTGTGTGTGTGTGTATTTGTGTGTGTGTACGGTTATAAAAATTCTTAAAAAACTATGAAGTTAAAAAATTTCAATTCAAATCTTTTTCTGATTTCAATTTCTTAATTTTCCATTACCTTTCTATATTTGCTTTGTTGTTGTATTGAAAACCCAAAATCCGTGTGATTTGATCGCGGTTCCCTTTTGATAAACGGCGGCGAGGTGGAGGGGGGGGGGAAGGATGGCGAAGGAAAAAGATTAGCGGAAGTGACGAAGACACAGAAGAAGTCATTTGAAAGAGTTGTAAACAAAAACAAACCCAAAATGAGGTCAAGTTTGTCAAAGAAAGAAAAGTTAAAAAAAAAAAAATATGGCTTCAAGAAAAGATTTTCTTTCTGTCTTTTTGTTTGATTTTCTTTTTCTTTCTTTCGCTCAGTTTTCCTTCTTATGAACCCTTTCTCTCATTTTGTCCCCCTTTCTTTTCCTCTTTCTTTCTTTCTTTATTTGTGTTTTCTTTCTTTCTTTCTCTCTTTCTCTTTTTCTTCCTTTCGTTCTGTCTTTCGTTCTTTTCTTCTCTTTGTTTCCCCTTACATTCTTCCTTTCTTTCTTTCTTTCTTTCTTTTCTCTTTGTTCTTTGTTTCTTTCTTTCTTTGTGTTTATTTCTCTTTCTTTCTTTCTTTCTTTTTTTCTTTCTTTCTTTCTTATTTTTGTTCATTTTCTCCCTTTGTGTTCACTTTATTTGTTTCGTTCTTTTTTCCTTCTTTGTGCCACCTTTCTTTCTCCGTCTCTTTTTTCTTTCTTTCTATTTTTCTTTTTTTTTCTTTTTATTCTTATTTTATTTCTTTTTCTTTCTTTCTTTCTTTCTTTCTTTCTTTCTTTCTTTCTTCAACGTTTATTTATTGTTTTCTTCTTTCCATTTTTCTTTCTCTCCTTTTTACTTTCTTTCTCTCTTTTTCTTTCCTTTTGTTTTCTTCTTTTCCTTTTTCTTTCTTTTTTTAATGATGCTTCATTGTTTGCTTTCTTCTCTCTTTCTTTTTCTTTACTTCTTTCTTTCTTTCTTTCTTTTTATTCTTTCTTCTTGTCCCCTTTCTTTCTTCGTATCCTCTTTCTTTCTTTCTTTCTTTCTTTCTTCGTGTCCCATTTCTTTCTTTCTTTCTTTCTTTCTTTCTTTCTTTCTTTCTTTCTCCGATGTTTCTCTATTGTTATTGCCATATAAAGTGGACAAATTACAAAAGCAATAATTTCTTAGTCATTTCAATTTTTTATCACCCATTTTCATACTGTTTTAATAAACTATTTTCATCCGTTTTATTTTGGATTTTTATTCCTACATATGACGTATTGATGGATTCTTCATTATCAGTTTATTTTCATTACAGTCTTTAGGAATTGATGGGTTTGCCATGACAGTCTGGATCGAAATACTCTTTATCAGTAGAGGAGTATCTCATTCCTAGTTTTAATCCCTCGAATTGTTGCTGATCGAAATACGATTCAGGAATATTATTTCATTTCTAGTTTGAATCCGTCATTTTGTTTGTTTGTTTTGCTTTTCATCCTATCAATTTAGGTCGATAGAATTTTCATTATTACAAACATTTTATTTCTAGATTTTTTTTTACCTATCTTAATATTATGGCTGGTTATTCGAACATTCCTGGATCGATAATCACATCCTTAATACAATTTTGGTTTTAGAATGCTTACTCCTTCATCGGACAATCAGTTTAACGAGCCATATAACTATTTCCTCAAAGATGATGAAGCGACATAAAGTAACAGAAATGTGGCTCTACAGAAGGATGCTGAGGATACAATGGACAAATATGTGAGGAACAACAAAGTTCTCGAAAAAATCAAAACAAAAAGGAAATTTATGCTTATCATCAGGAAGAACGGCTAAAATTTATAGGACATATAATAAGGAAAGAGGATTTGGAAAATATGATACCCACAGGACAGAGGAAAACAATGCATAACCTACATAATGGGAACTTCTTCTTCTTGTATTATTTTTTGACCTGCCTTTGTTTTCTTTAATCCCATACCTGTGCCGAGGTCATAACCATTGACCTGCGACAAGCGATGGATTTGATGTTTTATTGTTGTTTCCCCTTAATTAAACAAAAGACAGCTATTAAGAAAAAAATAAAACTAACTTAAATGGACAAATACGTTCGTAAGATGTGGGTTTTATTTTTCATGAGAACTATTTTGGCGGAGGGATCCTGATGATTAGGTATTTCAGACATTTTGCTGACTTATTCTTGAATTCCATTCTTTATCAGGTCCAAAGCTCCAACCACAATAGGAACAGTTTTAGTTTTTAACTGCTATATTTTTCCCTCAGTTTTCATTTCCAGGTCTTTGTATTTGCTAGTTTCTTCAAAAGTCTTTACAGAGATTTTTTTTTCATTTGGTACGCTTCTGTCAAAAAGAAATACAAACTTTTTCTTTTTTATCTTTGATAATAATGTCTGGGCGATTTGCTTTCTAAATAAAGTAGACTCCCGCGTGTATGTTTCCCTGAATACTACAATTTTAACCGCTTCAAGTCATAGGTCAGTAGCTATCTATCCCCCTGCTTCTCATAATATTCGCGTACATCCAACACCTCTTACATTCATATCAGACACTTCATTGAATAAGCTTCTACCTTGAGTGGTTCTTGGGCCTTGCCTTGTGTGAACTTTAGTCTAAAGAAAGTCCGAAAAGCAGAAAATTAAAGCAATAAACATTTAATTACTTTTATGGTTTTCCGTCATTCACATAACGCAAAAGAAATAGGTTTTGAAATAAATTAGGCTCCCGCGAGTATGTTTCCCTGAATACTACAATCTTAATAAGTTCAAGTCAAAGGTCAATAGCTATCTATCCTCCCTGCTTCATCCACGTTCATCCAACACCTCTTACATTCATATCAGGCACTTGATTCAATAACTATTGCTTACACTCTCTGGCAATGACTGCTGAAAACCTTCCATTGCCAAATTTATCGACAAATCCTGTACATTCGCGTTAAATAAAAATGGACAATTCTTCAGATCTTTGTATTTGCTTAGTTCTTCGAAAGCCTTCGTAGAAATATTTTTGTCACTTGGTACATTTATGTCAATAGGAAATGGAAACTTTTTTTTCTGTCTTTGATAATAATGTCTGGACGATTTGCTTTCTCTTGTTCAATCTGCGTTGATAGAAAAATCCCAGAGGATGGTAACATCTTCTCTCTCGACTCGTTATGTCAAGACTCTGTTGGGTTCAGCTTTTTTTTTTCTAGTTTCTTTTGATTTAACTCTTTCGCTTCTTGTTTTAGTTGTCTTTCTAATTTTCTTATAGCTCTGTCTACATTGCCGCTATTTTCACGATTTAATTCGAATTCTCCTCCCATATTTATACGCTTCTTTTGATACAGAATAAAGCATTTCTAATTTTTTTACACCCAATCTTGTATAGCTGCAAAATACTTACTAAATACCATTGTTGAAACTTTGTAAGACAATTGCACCTGAGTCATAACCCTAATCACACTGCTACAGACTGTCAACATCTTCCTTTAGGGTGATGAATTCAGTTGCATATGAGTTGTTTGCGAATTTTTGCATCAATATTCTGGACTCCTTTAAGTTCTAATTTTTATGTTGAAGCCATAAGTTACAAGTGACATAACAACACTGTTAACCCTAGAACACTAACCATGGGTATATAATACCCAACACAAATTTTCCTATTTTTAATTACAATTTTCAATACCTGATTTTCTTACCTAAATAATATAATTTTCAGTTCCTATTAATGTTAACTCAAAGTACAAAGTTTGAAGTGCCTGCATGTAAAATATTTCAAATAAAGATTTAATTTTTTTTTTTCATATTTTCAAAATCGGGTATGATGGTTAGTAGTGGTGTAACTTTAATTGATGCTTAGTGTTCTAGGGTTAATGGCCGTTGCTATGTGTTTCGAATTCAATTTAGTTTTCATTATTACTCGACCACGTCTTTCTCATTGTTTCTGTTCATTCCCCGAATTCCACCGTCTTCATTCCCACTCACATATAATTATAATTCCTGGTCGATTTCTTTAATGACAATATCTACAACAAGAGTTATATCCTCGCTATTAATAAGATTTCATCGCTTGAAGGCGGCCATTGCACATTTATTCGGCCAAAATTTCATTCATATATCATCGCTGAAAACTTTCACACTTCAAAAGCCTTTTCAGTTCGCCAATATATCTTGAATATAATTTCATGTCTGTCTATATTTCTGAGATGAGGCATTATGTACATTATTTACATTATTCGGAGTATTGTCCTAATCTTTGTCGCCATATTTATCACAACGTTTCGGCCGATGTACCGTTGGAATGTCGAACTGAACCCTTTATTTCGCTCACTGGGGTAGACTGTTCTAGTTCCATGTGCCATGTCTAATGGATGTTAGTTATCAGTTATCTCCTGCTAATTTACCTCTGAAAGTTCTCCACTACCTTAACCGGGTATTGAACTCACACTCTTTGGGTCCTCCCAATGCCTTTATCCACTGTGCCATGTGTCCTTGAGGACATCTGAGTATGAATTTCTGGATATTATAAACCTAATGTCTTCAGCAACCCTTTTTACCAGTGCTCATATTGCAATGTTGCTGTTACCATTGCATGTTTTTTACCAGAGCTCATATTGCAACTATGTTATCATTGCTTTTCGCTGGCAGTCCTTATTGCTGGTTCCCATATTGTATTTATTTCTATGCTTGGTTGGCTCAGGAGATTTTTGTGGCCTAGCATATGTGCTGATTCCTTAAGTTTTCGAATTTTTCAATGGCGTTCCTTGTCTATGATCTCAACATGATCCCACAGAGGGCGGTGATTTCCCTTCTCTCCCCATATGTGGTCAGCCACGCCTGATTTTTCTACTTCTATACTTACAGCTTTCTGGTGTTCTTGAAGCCTTACCTTGAGGGGGCGGCCTGTCTCTCCTTTATATTCCTTTCCGCAGCTGCACGGGATAGCGTACACACAGTCTTTAGTCATGTTCTCATCGATGGAGGGGGTCTCACTCGGGAGAGATATCTGCGAAGTGTCGTGAAGCTTTTGAAGGTTGTCTTGATGTTATATGTACCGCTGTATTGTATTTTCTCTGATAACCTCTTCACATAAGGCTGGCAGACCGTTTTCTGAGTGTTGTTGTCCTCCTCCTCTTGTACCCGCCTATCCCAGTTTTTTGGGGCTGCTGTCATGTACCCAGGGTAGTTGTTACGTTGTAGGGTACTACTTATACTGACCAATTCCTTATCTAACGTCTCTGGGTCGCCACTTATGACTTTTGCTCGGTGTTGTAAGCAACAGACAATCCCTTTCTTTACGCTCTATGGATGGTGGGAGTTGAAATTGCGGTACTGTCCGGTGAATGTTGCTTTACGGTATACGGATGTCTTGAACCCATGCTCTGTTCGAGATATTAGTACATCCAGGAATGGGAGTGTGTTATTACTCTCTTTCTCCGTTGTGAACTGTATCGAAGGTCTTATTGAGTTCACATGGTCTAGTAGAACCTGAACATCTTCCTGGTGTGGCCAGAGTATGAAGGTGTCATCGACGTGCCTTAACCATAATTTCATGTCATTATTATTATTAATATTATTGTTGTTGTTATTGTTATTATTATTATTGCGGTAATAAAAATAAGTCCATCCCATCTCCCCTCTCGCTTGTAACCATCCATCACAATAAACTAAATATTTTTCAGTACTAAAGCTGAATGAGTCAAATAAAACTTCATACAATTCTACTTAGAGTTGTTGCTAGATTACAATTATTATTATTATTTTGTTTGATTTCTGTTGTATACGCATTTCTGGGTCCCAACCAGAGATCTAATTTCAGAATGGTTTCATGGCATTTCCCACTAGCCATTTTTTTCTAAAAAAACAAAAAAAAAAAAAATAAATAAAAATAAAACAAAAATATTAGGGTCACACACATTTTACATAGAAAAATCTTTTCGTAAGGTGTGGGCTGTACACATGAGAATATTTTTTTGTATATTTCTTTAAGGTATTGGCCACCAGGAATCTCAAGAATGTGTCTATTGGAGCCTTTTCCCATCAACCCAAGGGTTCCAACTACAAATGGAATAATTGATGTTATCATGTGCTACCTTTTTTAGATTTCCACTTCCGGGTCTTTGTATTTTGATAGTTTGAACATCTTCAAAGATATTACAATCTGCAGGGATAACGATACATTACAATCTGCAATATTAATAAGAAAGCACATTCTGTTTTTTGTTTTTTTTTTCTCTTTTCTGGGGGGGGGCACTCCTGTTAGCACGAAAGGATCTAGACGAGTGGCCGTTCAGGATAACTCTCATTTGACGATTCGAAAAGAAAGATTGGATCAGTTGAAAAAGAGCCCGGGGACACCGTAACTTTTCAGCTTGTAACAGATAAAGCTCTTCTTAAGGTGTGATCTGTACTTGTGGGTACAATTTTGCTCATTTCTTTAAGGCATGGGCTACCAGGTTTCAGTGGATCTATTGGAACGTCTTCCAATCAATCCGAGGGGACAATTAAAACTTGAATTATTGATGTCCACATGTGCCACATGTTTGAGATTTCTACTTCAAGATCCTTGTATTTTGATAGTTTGAAGTTCTTCAAAGATATTTTACAATCTACAATATTAATAAGAAATTACATTCTGTTTTTGTGGTCTTTGATTGCGATGTCTGAGCGATTATTATTATTATTCATCCATTTCTACGTTTCTGTCAGATGTCTGGTAGTTAGCGAGACATTCAACTTGCCCCGCCGTAATTCTTTGTGTTGGCCTATTGTTTTTTTTTTGTTTTTTTAATTTTGTCTTCTGTCTTCGTTGCTTTCCGAAGTTTATAAAATATTTATGTGGAAATAAATTCTAGGTGCCTCGACGGTGAGAAATTGTTAACAAGCCAGCCTCGCAGGGTATTGTTAGTTTTAACGCTTCAATCCTCAGCATCTTTCTCATTTCCCTTGTAGACCCCGATACTAACGTGGTGTGAGCACTCAGTTCTCTCCCACTGTCACTCTCTCTCTCTCACACACACTCTCTCTTTCTCTCTCACTCTCTCTCTTTATTTCTCTCTTTCTTTCTCTCTCTCTCTCACTTTCTCTTTCTCACTCTCTTTCTTTTCTCTCCCAATCTCTCTTTCTCTCTCTCTCTCCCTCCCTCTTTCTCTCTCACGCTTTCTCTCTCTTTCAAACTTTATTTTTCTTTCTCTTTCTCTCTCACTCTCTCACTCTTTTCTCTCTCCTCTCTCTTTCTCTCTCCCTCTCTCTTTCTCTCTCACTCTTTCCCTCTCTTTCAAACTTTCTTTTTCTTTCTCTTTCTCTCTCAAAAAGAAGAGAGTAATCAGATCAACAGTAAATAGCGATTGACATTACATTTAAATTTATACAGATTAAAGTTGGCCGGAAAGCATTGGGCCAGAAGGGATTTCCACAAGTGAGAAGTGCGAGAGAAGAAACCATAGTAATTTTAATTTTAATAATGGATATACTTATAAAAACGCGTAAATTTCAAGAATTAGTTATTTTCAAAAAAAAATTCGCTTGAAGATGGAACAGAGTTGGTACTTTAATTCAGTTTAATTCAAACAATTATATTGAAGATTTCGGCTCTTGTTTTGAAACATGAGAACTCTCATGTAGCGATGGAATCATATTTTTAAATAAATAATTATATTTAGGCTCTACTTTTGTATCGAGCACTGTTTTTAAAAAATAATAACAAAAACACTAAAGAACTTTGGATTATTTACTTAACGAGTTCTTTCCTATTTTCTATATATTTTCACACACAGACACACACACACACACATATATATATACATATTTTACATAGATAAAGCCTTTCGTAAAGTGTGGGCTGTACTTTTTATATCTCCTTGAGGCATTGACTTCCAGGAATCCCTTCAATTAGTCTACTGGAATCTTTTCCAACCAATCCGAGGGCTCCAAATACAATAGGGATTGTTGATGTTCCCACGAAGAGGTCTTATATCGTAATTTATCAATGAGGTGTGAGTCATAACAAATGACCATAGGGTCCCATTATTTCTTCACCTCCCTACACCAACAAATCCTTTCTCAGAATTCTGGCTCTCCCAAACTTTTTTCCGGTTTGTGTCACATTCCGAATTTAAACCAGCTATTTCTGGATTTCGTTTCTCACAGTTCAAACGCTGTTCATAACAACTATATCTTCAACTTTTTTTTTTCAATTGCACTTACGTCGCCACTGGGGGGGGAGGGGAGAGCAACATATCTATGATCTCTTTGACTTCATTCTGAACAGCAACTATGCCAAACCCTGTTGCTTCAACTATCACGTTACACGATGAAGAACAGCTGTACACTCACATTTTCCACTACTGCAGATGGTTTCTACTCGTAGCAATTTTCTGCTTTCTTCAGTTTGTATTTTCCATAGAGCACCCCGTATATAATACGTGCTACATAGCCGTGTTCTCATTGAGTCAACATACCACATTCCCTTATGACATAGCTCACTGCCTACCCTATTATTTAACACATTCTGCATAGCACAGAATCTAGTTTCGCCAATGAGGTTCTTATAGTTGGTTCTCAAATCTTGTGCAGCACGCATCATTTCTATTCTCTTTTCCTCATCCCTGATAAGGATTCGCCATTCCTCATCTCATCCAACTCATTTTAAAAATGTTATTTATATTACCCTCCTTATCGATTAATCTCTCCTCTAAAGATATTTTACTTTTCAACAGAACTTTATATGAGAAAGTTTGATCAGAAATGTTTTTTTTAATGCCTAAATAGAATTGTTATCTGAGTTTTTATAGGACATGTTTTCTTGTTTTTCTAGGTAAGACCAGAAGCTGCCTATCTATACGATGCCGTCAAGTTATACGCCCACGCAGCAGACTCGGCTTGGCGGGATGGAAAGTCAGTACGTGATGGACATGAAATCTTTAAAAGAATACGGGGACGAACATTTAAAAGTGAGTATAACTATATATATATATATATATATATATATATATATATAGAGAGAGAGAGAGAGAGAGAGAGAGAGAGAGAGGGAGAGACAGAGAGAGTGAAAGAGAGAGAGAGAGGGGAGAGAAGTACAGACGTAGATAGATAGATTCGTAACGCCTTTATCCACTGTGCCATGTGTCCTTGAGGACATCTGTGTATAATAACAACAAAAATTGCAATATGAGCTATGGTAAAAACATGTAATGATAACAGCAAAAATTGCAATATAAGCACTGGTAAAAAATGGTTGCTGAAGACATTAGGTTTATAATAGCCAGAAATTCATACACAGATGTCCTCAACAACACATGACACATTGGATAAAGGCGTTAGTTAAATCCAGTGACAGGTCCCAAAGACTGTGAGTTCAATGAAGAACTTGGAGAGGGGAATTAACAGGAGATACTTGATAACTGACATCCATTAAAGCATGGCACGTGGAACTGTCTACCCCAATGAGCGAAATAAACCACCATGAAGAAAGCCGGAGCGTACAACGGCCGAAACGTTGTAATAAATATGGCGACAAAGATGAGGACAATAGTCCGAATAATGTAAATAGTGTACATAATACCTCATCTCAGAAATATAGACAGATACTGAAGGGCCGAAACGTTGTAATTAATATGGCGACAAAGATGAGGACAATAGTCCGAATAATGTAAATAGTGTACATAATACCTCATCTCAGAAATATAGACAGATACTGAAGGGCCGAAACGTTGTAATTAATATGGCGACAAAGACGAGGACAATAGTCCGAATAATGTAAATAGTGTACATAATACCTCATCTCAGAAATATAGACAGATACTGAAGGGCCGAAACGTTGTAATTAATATGGCGACAAAGACGAGGACAATAGTCCGAATAATGTAAATAGTGTACATAATACCTCATCTCAGAAATATAGACAGATACTGAAGGACCGAAACGTTGTAATAAATATGGCAACAAAGATGAGGACAATAGTCCGAATAATGTAAATAGTGTACCTAATACCTCATCTCAGAAATATAGACAGATACTGAATGGACGAAACGTTGTAATAAATATAGCGACAAAGATGAGGACAATAGTCCGAATAATGTAAATTGTGTACATAATATCTCATCTCAGAAATATAGACAGATACTGAAGGGCCGAAACGTTGTAATTAATATGGCGACAAAGATGTGGACAATAGTCCGAATAATGTAAATAGTGTACATAATACCTCATCTCAGAAATATAGACAGATACTGAAGGACCGAAACGTTGTAATAAATATGGCAACAAAGATGAGGACAATAGTCCGATTAATGTAAATAGTGTACATAATACCTCATCTCAGAAAATATAGATAGATAAAAAAAGGTGTATGTGAAGGCATTGAGAAGTTTGGTTTGTTCTTTTTACCACCAGCCCGTCTTCAGCATAAAGCCAGGAGAAGAGGCGTGATTTGGTTTACCCAGCGCTCCTATTTCAGCCTGCAATTGAAAACCAAAATCGGAAAAAATATTTTTTAAACTTTTGGATAAGCATTTTCCAAGAAACTCTATTCTAGCTAAGGTGTTCAACAGGAGTAAACTAAAGCTCAGTTACATTTGCACGAGTAACTTGTTAAGCATTATAAAAAGCAACAACACCAGGTTATTAAAAACAAAAAGAGTTGAGGAAGTAAAAACGTAACCGCAGAAATAGTAATAATTGTCCCTTGCACGGGTAGTGTCAGATAGAGAGTGTTGTTTATGCAGCGGAGGTCAGTGACGGTAACAATTTTAATAAAATATATATTGGTTGCACAGAGGGTTCACTTAAGAGGAGATATTACAACCATACTGCTTCTTTTAGGCTTGAGAGCCATACAAATGCTAGTTTTATGTCACTAGAAAATTGTGTTTGGAGGTTCAAGGAAGTTAATTGTAGTATATTTAGCCCCCCTCTCCACGAGAGCTGCACAAGGACGAGTTTAACGTGGGTTCTCCGAGCCCGTAGGCTCGGCCAAAAAATGCCAGTAGAACCCGTCAACCTCCCCGAACGAGACTGGCCTTCGGCCGAGCCTCGTCTGGGTTCCTCTCCGCTTCGACCGTCTAGCCGAAAAGATTTCGGGTAGTTAATGGTAGCGTTCCACACATAAAGTAGAAGATCCTTAAAAAAGTGAAGCCGGGCAGAATCCGAGGAAACTATTGTAAAATATGCCAAAAAGAAAGATGGCGGATCGTCACAGACCCAAATAAAAACGAAATGTTAAATGAAAGGATCGTAAGTGTTATTCAAATATAGACACCTTAGTATATATTTATTGTGTATGTACGAACCTGGATGAAAATAGTTTTTTTCCCCTCCGCCTTCTCCCTCTTCCGTCTTTTCCATCCTAAATTCCGCTGTTAATATAAAATGGTGGTGGGATCAACTAAAATCTTTCATTCTACCTGCCTGCGTCGGGAGCGTGGTAGATTACAAATTTTTAGGAATTTTGTATTGAGAGCTTTTTTGATTGCACCTTTTAAGCGCAGCTGTTTACACCCTCCTTTTACTATACACTATCTTATATTCCATATTGTATTTTATATATATATATATATATATATATATATATATATATATATAAAAGAAAAACAGACTATTTAAGGTACCATTATAATAATTTATTTCACCAGAGTCCTTTTAAAAGGACGCCGGATCATCAGATAGCATTTCCAAAAATGAAATGAAACGAAAAATGAGATTAAAATTGATGGGTAGTGGAAGTTTTTGTAATTTTACAGGGGGTGTGAGAGGGATAGTTAAAGTGACATGGTAGACTATACGGAGTGGTTAATTTCATATCTCTTTCAAGTGTACTTTATATTGGGGTAGGAGGAGTGACCAAACCTTGACCTATTTAGATGGTTAACTTCATAACTTATATATATATATATAATATATATATCACGTCAAATCAGTCGGCTTTCGATCCCGGCTTGAAGCATTCGGATGTCTAGCCACACTGAAGAGCTGTGATACAGCAAAACAGTCTGTCTGTGGATGACTATGCATATATATATATATATCCGATGCGATGAGAACGAAAGTAATATATAAATTAATATATAAATTCCAACGTTCACAGCATTAATTCAAAAGAGGGCTCGATACCGATAGTAGAGCGATAATTATTCAAATATAGACAGCTTAGCATGTATTTATATATATATATATATATATATATATATATATATATATATATATATATATATATATATATATATGAACATAATAAATTACCAAATGACAAAATTCATAAAAATTCTCTCTTGAAATTTTTGAACTTTAGCATTGCGACCTGCACGCTCCAACACTATATAACCGTTAATAAATAGCTCATTCTTAAAAAAAATCCTTCGGTCGTAAAAACACATTTATTTCGTCTTCCAGTTTTGATTCTGAAGGGGAAAAAAATACAACCCGAAGATGAATGCATGAAGCATTCAAAAGTACTAGCTGAATTAAAAAATACACCATATCCATTTTATGCATAAGAATTCAGTGGATTGTTAGTAGTATAATGCTTATAATTATGTCTACTAGCAAAGGGATTTTGCCAATAATTGCATTAATATTGCTAATTGATTCAAGGTATGATTAATTCTTTGTAATATACATATATATATATATATATATATATATATATATATATATATATATATATATATATGCATGTGTGTGTGTAGAGATTGACGTCAACACCCGCCAGTGACAGTCTGTTACATGCTGAAGCTCAATCCTCGGGCTGTGAAGATTGTGTTTCAATGAGAAATAGACTGTCGCCACTGAGTGTTGTCATCAATGTCTACATTTATATTTACAACCGCTCTATCAAGCACTTTAACTCATAAATATACCTATCTTAAGACTATATTTTTATCGGATATATATATATATATATATATATATATATATAATGCTTTAAACTTTCAGAGAGGAAAAACAATGAATATCTATCTATCTATCTATCTATATATATATATATATAAAAGTGAGCATTGAAATCGACACTCAGAGGCGACAGACTGTTTCATGCTAGACAGTACTCGATTTCTTACCATGCTCGCTGTAGCATAGCCTCACCAATTGTAGCGATCTTTTACGTTAGATCAGTCATGTACCACATCTTTGTTCGATAGATGATATCTTTAACATAACACCATAGAAAGAGGTTCAGGTATATTGAACACCTTTTTGTTAATTGATTGATATAAAGATTAAACATATAATGCTGGGATTCAAGTTTGACACAGGGCCATGTATATTCAACACCCTGTGAGAAAATATTTTTTGCTGATTGATTGATATAAAGATTAAACATATAATGCTGGGATTCAAGTTTGACACAGGGCCATGTATATTCAGCACCCTGTGAGAAAATACCTTTATGCTGATTGATTGATATAAAGATTAAACATATAATGCTGGGATTCAAGTTTGACACAGGGCCATGTATATTCAGCACCCTGTGAGAAAATATTTTTTTGCTGATTGATTTCAAGATTAAACATATAATGCTGGGATTCAAGTTTGACACAACAAAAAGGTGCACAATATACCTTTTTTTGTTTTTCATTTCGAATCTAATTATATGTTGTCCTAGTTCAAGTTTGACGCAATGCTAGATACTTTGAGCACACATTAAGAAAAAAAACATTTTTGTTTCTTTGTTTCAAAAACTAGTTATTTGTTATCCTAGTTCATGTCTGACACAGGGACCCATAGATTGAGCACATAGCCAAGGCCACTTTGTTGATTGATGATTCAAGTATGACACAAGATCACATACACTGACTTTGATTTCAATATTAGATCGGTGCTGGTTCTATATATTCACAAGATCAGATATACTAGGTACCCAATGAGGACTGACGTCATTAGAGATGACCTCAGCGGTTCAACGTTT